TAAAGTGAATGAAACTTGTAGTTGTAAATATGCCATTACTTCTATAGTTGTAGTAGTGGCAACTGACTTAATAATTTAAAGTTGCACATATGAAATAAAAGAAATACGACACAACATTTTTAAAGTTTTGTGTAGGCCTGGTGCGGTGGCTCACGCCTGTAGTCCCAGCACTTTGGGAGGCCGAGGCAGGTGGATCACCTGATGTTAGGAGTTTGAGACCACCCTGGCCAACAGGGCGAAACTCCGTCTCTACTAAAAATATAAAAATTAGCCAGGCATGGTTAATTTTTGTCTCCTGGATGACAGGCGGATGCCTGTAGTCCCAGCTACTCAGGAGGCTGAGGCAGGAGAATCGCTCGAACCCAGCAGACAGAAGTTGCAGCAAGCCGAGATGGAGCCACTACACTCCAGCCTGGGCTACAAGAGTGAAACTCCATCTCAAAATAAATAGTTTTGTATTAAATGTGAAATGCTTAACCAACTGGAATCACTCTGCTTGAATGAACTTAATAAAATAACCGCAGTACCTTTGATTGATATGCACACTCATTATTTGCCTAGTCAGAAGTTTTTGGATGGTCTGCTTCCAGGGAGAAATATCGACTGCACTGATTACTGGTGAGTGTTGTTGGGCCAGAAGTGTCGGATGCTCAGATTGGAGTCGGCAGAGGCTTTGCCAGTTCCTCAGGAATTATTTTTATGTTCGGGATGCAAGATCCTAGGAAATTACAAAAAAGATAGCTGTTGAAATCTTACAGGCAGAAGACCATAGGTAAATTAGTAATACTTGACGCACAGATCAAACTTTTTTTTTTTTTTTTGAGATGGAGTCTTGCTATGTCGCCCAGGCTGGAGTGCAGTGGTACAATCTGGGCTGAGTGCAATCTCTGCCTCCTGGGTTCAAGTGATTCTCCTGCCTCAGCCTCCCAAGTAGCTGGGATTACAGACATGGGCCACCACACGCGGCTAATAATTTTATATTTTTAGTAGACATAGGGTTTTACCATGTTGGCCAGGCTGGTCTCAAACTCCTGACCTCAGGTGATCCACCTGCCTCAGCCTCCAAAAGTGCTGGAATTACAGGCATGAGCCACCACGCCCTGCTCAGAGATCAAACTTTTGATCCAATTTTTTTACCACCTGCTTAGTACAGCCACCTGAATCAGAGTTAGTCCCTACAGAGAGAGAGACTTTCTTTTTGAGATGGGGTCTTTGTTACCTAGGTGGCAGTGCATTGGCATGCTCATGACTCACTGCAGCCTTGACCTCCAGGGCCCCAGTGATCCTCCCACCTCAGCCTCCCAATTATCTGGAACCACAAGCACACATCACCATACGGGGCTAATTTCTAAAAGTTTTTTGTAGAGGTGGGGTCTCCCTAAGTTGCCCAAGCTGGTCTTGAACTCCTGCCCTCAAACTATCCTCTTTGGCCTCCCAAACTGTTGGGATTACAGGTGTGATCCACTGTGCCTTGTCCTCCTAGAAAGACCTTGCAGTGTGGGTAGCACTTAAAATGGGACAGACTGATGTTATAGGCAAATGCCTTTCTTTAGATGAGAATGTAGAAAGGAAGCAGAGCAGACTGCCAAAAGCACAGAACCTGGTGCCTAATGAATGGCCTGGATTCAAATCCTATGAGAAGTTGTGCATACCTAGGAATGTTATATAAATCTTTCTGCTTCAGTCCCTGTTCTGAGATACACAAATGTTAGGCCGAGCACGGTGGCTTATGCCTATAATCCCTGCACTTTGGGAAACCGAGGCAGACGGATCACCTGAGGTCAGGAATTTGAGACCAGCCTGATCAACATGGTGAAAACTCGTCTCTACTAAAACACAAAAATTAGCCGGGCGTGGTGGCAGGCACCTGTAATCTCAGCTATGTGGGAGGCTGAGGCAGGAGAATGGCTTGAACCCAGAAGGCAGTGGTTGCAATGAGCCGGGATCCGTTCATGGCACTCCAGCCTGGGCGATAAGAGTGAAACTCTGTCTCAAACAAAAAATAAATGTTAATATGGTCCCTCTTACGATACAAGGTTAACATTGAATTCAGGGTAAAGCCTTAAGAAGACTGGTACCAGCCCGGAGTGGTGGCTCAGGCCTGTAATCCCAGGACTTTGGGAGACTGAGGCAGGTGGATAATGAGGCAGGTGGATAATGAGGTTAGGAGATCGACACTATCCTGGCTAACACGGTGAAACCCTGTCTCTACTAAAAATACAAAAAAAGTGAGACCCTGTCCGGGGAAAGAAAAAAAACTTCACAGGGGGAGGTCTATATGCATAGGTTGGGGAGTTCCTGCTCTCTGGTGTCACACAACGCACCCTTCTACCCTACCTAGACTGGCGTGGGGTGATGCCGACCCTGAGGCTAATCATCCCACACTGACTGGCAGGGGGCGCTAAAACAGCCTTTTCTGTCCCACATATTGCGCATGCGTATTCTCATCGCAGACGCTGCATGGAGTGCGTGGCGTGGCGTCCGGAATGAGTAGGAAAGCGGCTCCGGTTCCTTCAGGACGCGCTTTAGGGGGCACCGCGGCGGTTTGGGGACGACTTGGAGCCCCGTCCTAGGGAGAAAACAGCTCCTGTCTGTGGCCCTGACTGCTTAGGCGGGAGCTGTGCGCGGCTCAGCTTCTCCGGGGCATTGTTTTCTACGCGGTGAGTACAGAAGCTTGGTTCCTCCAATGTTCCTTTTATTCTCATCTTCTCCATAGTTTTCCTCTTTTCTAGTATTCTGGTATTTGTCTTACCACGAGTTTTGTTCCCCTGAGGGCTTTTGAGGGTGGCAAGTGTAGCAGACTGTGGTATTTTTGGGGTTTGAGGACTTTTTCTGAGGGAACCTGTCCCGTATAGATGGGGAGAGAGGAAAGCCCCAGGAGGAAGGGGAAGCCCGGCCCAGGTGGGAGTTGGGAACAGGCCTGGTGTTTGGCTGCCTCCTGGCCAGGCCTCAGACAGAGGAGAAAAGATCCCAGCGGCCTCCAGGATTTGATGAAATTTTAAATTTGCCTTCGCGCCACCGGGACACATCGGGACCCCCCCCTCCCCGGCCTTCAGGGAAGCCTGTGTCCCCTTCAGTCCCTCTGGTCACGACCACCGGGGCGGGGAGGTACACCCGGGTGCGAGCCTGACGGGGAGTTGTCCCTGGTGACGGGGAAGCTGAGCACCTGGTTCTCTCCATGCTGCTCAGTGTTATGTCCCCTGTGCAGAAATGTCTATGCTGGGTCCCTGCCCACTTTGGGGTTGATGATCTTGTTATTGCTGTTGAGCACTGTGAAGGTATTGCATATTTTTTGTAACAGTCCCTTAGGAGATACGTGCTTCCCCCAAAATTTTTCCCCAGTTGTAGGATTCCTTTTCATTTGGTTCATTATTTTCTGTACCGAAGTTTTCCAGTTGGATGTAGCCCCACGTGGTTGTTTTTGCTTTTGTTACCTGTGTTTCGCTTTCCCAATTTAAAAGATAAATATATTCACAAGCCATTCCATTCTCGATGAGGTTTTACTCTCTGCCCTTTTTTTTTTTCGTTTTCTCTTGCTGCATTTCCAGCCTGTGAGCCTAGGTGCAAGTTGCCCCAAAACTTAAGTGCTCTACACCCCCTTTTTTCTTTTTTTTTCTTTTTTTTTTTTTTTTTTTTGAGACGGAGTCTTGCTCTGTCGCCGGGCTGGAGTGCAGTGGCCGGACCTCAGCTCACTGCAAGCTCCGCCTCCCGGGTTCCCGCCATTCTCCTGCCTCAGCCTCCCGAGTAGCTGGGACCACAGGCGCCCGCCACCTCGCCCGGCTAGTTTTTTGTATTTTTAGTAGAGACGCGGTTTCACCGTATTAGCCAGGATGGTCTCGATCTCCTGACCTCGTGATCCGCCCGTCTCGGCCTCCCAAAGTGCTGGGATTACAGGCTTGAGCCACCGCGCCCGGCCCCCTTTTTTCTTACAGACGATGATGATGGTCTATAATTTCAAGTCTTGTGTTCAGGTCTTCAATCTATTTCGAGTTGATTTTTGTGTATTGTATACCAGAACGGTCGTATTTCATTCTTTTTCGTATAAACATCAGTTTTCTCAAAACCATTTAATGAAGAAAATCTTATCCCCCATTGAGGCTTTGTGATCTCTGATAACTGTTTTCATTTGCTTTGGGAGATATACGCAGTAGTGGGATTGCTAGATCGTATGGTAGTTGCATTTTCAATTTTTTGAGGAATTCACTTTTTTTTTTTTTTTTTTTTTTGAGAGGGAGTCTCACTCTGTTGCCCAGGCTGGAGTGCAGTGGTGTGATCTCAGCTCACTGCAGTGTTTGCCTCCCGGGTTCAAGTGATTTTCCTGCCTCAGCCTCCTGAGTAGCTGGGACTATAGGCACATGCCCACCACGCGCGGCTAATTTTTTGTATTTTGAGTAGAGATGGGGTTTCTCTGTGTTACCAGGATGGGCTTGATCTCCTGACCTCGTGATCTGCCTGCCTTGGCCTCCCAAAGTGCTGGGATTACAGGCCTGAGCCACTGCACCTGGCCTACAACTTTTTTCCATAGTGTATATCCTAATTTATCTTTACACCAACAATGCATGAGATTTTCCCTGTATCCAAATCCACACCAGCATTCTTTTACATTTTTAAGATATTTTCAGTAACATTTATTCCAGTAGGTGTGGGATGGTACCTGGATGTGGTTATGGAGTACATTCTTTTCTAATGAATAGTAATGTTGAGGACCTTTTCTCTTATGTGTTTGTGCATTTTATGGCATTTTTGCAGCGATGTCAATTCAGGTTTTCTGCCTGATTTCAGTTTGGATGTGTATTTTTTATGCTATCTGGTATTTCTTTTTTTCTGTGTACATGTTTGATAACAACCAGTTATCACTTCTATGATTCCCTCCTATTTTCTCATAATCTTTCTCTTTTTTGAGACAGGTCACTCTCACCCAAGCTGGAGCACCGTGGCACATCACAAGACCATGTATATTGGAATATTGGCTACCTACAGCTTTGCAGCGCTATTTGATATCAGGAATTGTGAGTCCTCCAACTTAGTTTGTATTTCTCAGGGTTCCTTAGATGTTCAGGACTATTTGTGGTTCCATGTTAATATTAACATTGTGTATTTAAACTTTTTTTTTTTTTTTTTTTGACGGACTCTTGCTCTTTCGCCAGGATGGAGTGCAGTGGCGTGATCTCAGCTCACTGCAACCTCCACCTCCTGGGTTCAAGCGATTCCCCTGCGTCAGCCTCCTGAGTAGCCGGAACTATAGGCGTGTGCCACCACACCTGGCTGATTTTTTTTTCTTTTGTATTTTAGTAGAGACGGTGTTTTATCATGTGTTGGCCAGGATGGTCTCTATCTCTTGACCCTGTGATCCACCTGCCATGGCCTCCCAAAGTGCTGGGATTACAGGCGTGAGCCACCGAGTCCACCCATCCCCACCCCCACCCCCTACCCCCTGGCTTTTTTTTTTTTTTTGAGATGGAGTCTCATTCTGTCAAGAGGCTAGAGCACAATATCATGACTTCGGCTCACTGCAACCTCCGCCTCCTGGGTTCAAGTGAGTCTCTTACCTCAGCCTCCCAAGTAGCTAGGACTACAGGCATGCGCCACCATGCCCAGCTAATTTTTGTATTTTTAGTAGAGACGGGTTTCACCATGTTGGGCAGGATGGTCTCGATCTCCTGACCTCCTGATCTGCCCGCCTTGGACCCCCAAAGTACTAGGATTATGGCGCGAGCCACTGTGCCTGGCCTATACTTCTTAAATGTTTTGTCTGTAATAAAGCACATAAACAGAGGGTATACTGGGACTTTTTTTTCCTCATCTGAGACTCTTGTTTTTGTTTCTGTCTGTTTTGAGACAGTCCTGCTCTGTTGCCCAGGCTGGAGTGCAGCAGCATGATCTTGGCTTACTGCAACCTTTGGCTTCCGGGTTCGAGTGATTTTTGTGCCTCAGCCATCCTAGTAGCTAGAATTACAAGTGTGTGCCACCATGCCCAACTGATTTTTGTATTTTTTAGTGGAGACGGGGTTTTGCCATGTTGGCCAGGCTAATCTTGAACTTCTGGCCTCAAGCAGTCCGCCCACCTCAGCCTCCCAAGGTGCTGCGATTCATGCTGACACATGAGTCACCTCGCCCAGCCTCATCTGGGATATTTGGATACATGTGTATTTTTGGTGATGATCAAATCAGGGTACTTAGCATAACTATTCCCTCCTACAGGTGTTAATTTCTCTGTGGTGAGAACACTCAAAATTGTTCCCTTCTAGCTTTTTTGAAAAATTCAATATTGTAACCAGAGTCACCCAGCTGTGGAACAGGACACTAGAATGTGTTCCTCCCAACTAACTAACTTTGTTTCCATAACCAATCCCTCCTATCTCCCCTCCTTCCCCAGCCTCAGGAGACCACTCCTGTTCTTTCTGCTTCTTGAAGGTTAAGTTTTTGGATTCAACATAAGCGAGGTCATGCAGTGTTTGTCTTTCTGTGCTTGGCTTATTTTAACAGAATGTTTTCTAGGTTTGTTGGTGCTGCCCTAAATGAAAATTGTATTTTTTTTTTTTTTATGGCTGAAGAGTATATCATTGTATATATGTACTACATTTTCTTTATCCTTTCATCTGTGGGTGAACAGGTAGGTGGCTTCCATCATCCTAGCTATTGTGAATAGTGATGGAATAGACATGGAAAGGCAGATGTCTCTTCAAAATACCAATTTGCTTTGACTGTATAGCTAGTAGTGGGATGAATAGATAGTATAGTACTGGACTTTGAGTTTTTTGAGGAATCTGCAACTGCTTTCCATAGTGTATGTAGTAATTGACCCTCCTATGAACACTTCTTTTTTTCCTGGAAATTCACACCAGCTTTTGTGTTTGTATTTTTATTTCTCATATTCATTTCAAATAAGAGATGCTTTTTATGGTTTTGATTTCCACTTTTTGCAGAAGTAGTAATGTTAACCATGTTCTGTAAAGATAGAGTCAGTCTTATAGACCGAAAAATCTATTCCGGCTCTTTGCCCAATTTTGGTTCGGTTACTAGTTTCTCTTTTGTTTAGTTTTTTTGCTAGTTACTAGTGTTAGTAGCCTGTGCCTTTTGTAAAACAAGGCCTTATCAGCTGTATGTTTCCCCAAACTTTCTTCTCATCTTTGCGATGCTGGTTTTGTTTTGTTTTTTCTCTGCCCCCTCCCCACGATGGAGTCTTGCTCTGTCACCCAGGCTGGAGTGCAGTGGCACAATCTCAGCTGACTGCAGCTTCCACCTCCCAGGTTCAAGCAATTCTGTGGCCTTAGCCTCCTGAGTAGCTGGGATTACAGGCACGCACCACCATGCATGGTCTAGGATGTCTTCTCTCTGGATTCATTTGTTCTCTCCTGCGCAGAGGCTCTAATGTTGTACTTAGTCTCTCATGTTTGCATTTGCATTTGTTAGCAGTGATTTCAGTGTGCCATCCAAAAAAGATCGTTAAGCCATTTTATTGTCTATGCATGTTTTCCCCCTAATTTTTCCTTTTCTTTTTTCTTTTTGCAACCTGTGTACACAGGGTCAAGTTTCCCCCAAACATACACTTATCCCATGTTATCTCCTTGGAGTGTTTTGCTTTCAGGATTGAATTTAACTGTTCAATTTATTTTTTGTAAATTTTTGTGTATTGGGCAACATGGGGGTGCTATTTCAGTCTTTTGCACATGACTTACCCAGTTTTTTCAATTGTCGTGCCTTTGGTGTGATTTTGAAAAATGTGTGCCCTAAATACAATTTTGGGTTGATTACCTGGCTGCCTCATTTTGTCCATTCAGTTGTCTTTCTATGTTTATGCCAGTCCATGATTGCCTGGATAACTGTAGGTTTTGTCTATCATCCACCTATCTGTCTATAATATATCCTAATCCTGTTATGTATTTACTTTTTTTAAGACAGGTTATCGCTGTGTCACTCAGGCTGGAGTGCAGTGGTACGATGTTGGCTTATTGCAGCCTTGAACCTTCCATGCTCAAGTGATCCTCCCTTCTCAACCTCCCAAGTAGCTGGGACTACAGGTGTGCACCACCATGCCCCACTAATTTTTTGTACTTTCTGTAGAGGTAGGGTTTTGCCATATTGCCCGGACTTCTCTCGAACTCCTGGTCTCAAGTGATCTGCCTGCCTCAGCCTCCCAAAGTGCTGTGATTATAGGCAGGAGCCACTGTGCCCGGGGCAACCCTGTTTCTTTTCTTTTCTTTTTTTTTTTTTTTAGATCAACTTTTATTTGGATTAAATTGCAGGCTAGTTACATGTGAACCTTTGACATTGAGGCTTGTGGTCATTGACCACATCACCCAAGCAGGGAGCAAAGTGCCAGTCAGGTGGTTCTTCCGCCCGCACCCCCTTTCTGCCTCCTTTTTTCATCTGATAGTCCCCAGGGTCTATTGTTTGCATCTTTATGTTTGAATGTATTCACTGTTTAGCTCCCACTCATAGTGAGAACATGGAGTGTTTGGTTTTCTGTTCTTGCCTTGATTTGCTAAACATGATAATCCCCAGGTCTATCCACGCTGCTTAGGACAGAATTGTGTGTTCTTATGGCTACGTAGTATTTTGTGGTGTGTATGCACCACATTAAAAAAAAAAATCAAATCCACTGTTGCTGGTCACCTAGGATGCTTCCAAGTCTTTGTTCTTGTGAATGGCACGGCCATGAGTGCAGGAGAGCATGTGTCTTTTTGATGGAAGGATTTGTTGTCCTTTGGGTAGATACCAAGTAATGGAATTGCTGGGTCTGATGGTAGTTCTGTTTTAAGTTCTTTGAGAATCTCTACACTGCTTTCCACAGTGTGAACCTTTTTTCACATTCCCCAAGAGTGTAGCAGTGTTCCCTTTCCTCTGCTGCCTCACCAGCATGTTTTAATTTTGGAAAAATGGCCATCTGACCCGTGTGGGATGGTATCTCATTGTGTTTCCGAGTTGCATTTCACTGATTAGTGAGGTTGTGCATTTTTTCATGTCAGTTGGGCACTTGAACGTCTTTTTCTATTTTTGAGACAGTATCTCACTCTTGCCCAGACTGGAGTGCAGTGGTGCGATATTGGCTCACTGCAACCTCCGCCTCCCAGGTTCAAGCGATTCTTCTGCGTCAGCCTCCTGAGTAACTGGGATTACAGATGTCTGCCACTATGCCCAGCTAATTTTTGTATGTTTTAGTAGAGATGGGGTTTCACTATATTGCCCAGGCTGGTCTCGAACTCCTGACTTTGTGATTCACCTGCCTCGGCCTCTCAAAGTGCTGGGATTAAAGGCAATGAGCTAACATGCCTGGCCAGTGTTTTTGTAGTTTTAGTAGAGATGGAGTCTCACCATGTTGGCCAGACTGGTCTTGAACTCCTGACCTCAGGTGATCCACCTGCCTCAGCTTCCCAGAGTGCTGGGATTATAGGCGTAAGCCATGGTGCCCAGCCCCTTGACAACTGTTTCTCTAAGGACCCTTTGCTAAAGGAGAATTGCTGGATCAAGACTACTCTTCCAAAAGAGGATAATAAACATTTCCTCTTTCGTTAATAACTTAGATTATTCCTCTGAACAGCCGTTACTGCACATTGCTGAAATGTTTGCCTCTGCACTGGCTGGCCCCAGAATGCTAATCATTTTGAGATTTGTGTTTTCTTTCTTCTGTTTTCTGCCTTCCTCTATTAGCCATGCCTGACCTGAAGGCCATCCCTCCCTCTTTAACGTACTATTTTTCTTCTAATGTGGATCTACAAAACCAGAGTTTGGGCAGAGTCTAACAACAGGGACAAGAGAAGAAACAGATCCAAAGAGAGGGGTTTGGGCACAACAGAGGGGTTCTGGGGTCAGTTCTCAGTGGTGAAGGCTGACTGTGCATCTCTCTCCCCAGCTCCACTTGCAGCCGTGCCATAGCTTGAAATCTGCCACAGTGGGAGCATTTACACCATGGAAATTGGCAAACGCTGCAAATCAAGAGTGTTAATTTTTGTTTTGTTTTTTGAGAGTTGGCTGTTAACTTACCAGTATACTATTGGCTTTAGTGCATGGCCTCTATATGTTGATATTTGTTGCGGGCCGTTATTTAGACCGCCTTCTTATTTCTTAACTGTGTTCCAGGTGGTTAAAGGCAACATAGCACTGAGTTCTGGATAACTGGGGGGACTGTGTGCTTGGATTTGCCGTGCTTAAGGTTTGGGTGGGGCTACTACATCTTGCCGGGTTGGGCAAGAGTGAACCCCAGGGGCCAATGTGAGTAGCCAGGATCCTGCCATAGGAAGCTTGGAGTGGAACTGACCTGCCCCCTTTCTCTCTGTCTCCATGGCAGCTGGGTGGGCTATGAACAGGCCAACTGCAAGGGTGAGCAGTTTGTGTTTGAGAAGGGCGAGTACCCCCGCTGGGACTCGTGGACCAGCAGCCAGAGGACGGACTCCCTCAGCTCCCTGAGGCCCATCAAAGTGGTGAGCCCCCTGCCATTCTATTTCCTCTCTCTGCCCATCATCCTACTTTCTGTCTCTGCCACCTTGGATCCGGAGGTCCTGAGACCAGGAAGGAGCCTGCCCCTCTAGCATTGTGCCCCTTCTGATTGGTGAGGAACCTCCTCCCTGGGTGACCTTGCAAAAGTCATTTTACTTCCCTGAGCCTCAGTTTCTTCATCTGTAAAATGGGCATATTGGTATCTACTGTCCTGAGATTCCAATGTGCTTATTAGCTTGAGGGTTTTCACACTGCGCAACTCCAGGGGGCTCCAATCACGAGACTATGAAATGCTCCAGAGGGCACCATTCACATTCTATTTTATGTGGTTGGTGCCCCCCACCCCGCAGGGTTGGGCAACTCCCATCACAGAGTCACTGCTCAATAATCAGTAGCCATTAGAAATACAAGAAATTCTGAGTTCAGGACTGGAGGAGAAGGTGGTTTAGCTCTTCTTCAAGACTCGTGCCAGTGTGAGTTTTCAGTGCTTCTGGGATCCCGATTCTTACTAGTGTGTGAGTGTGTAAACTGTCGGGGAGGGGACAGGGCCCATCACTGCTCAGTTACACTCCCAAACCCTCCAAGCCCAGTCTAGCTCCTCCCAGGACCTACTGGAAGGTTGGAGAACACTGGACTTCACATCCCACAGACCCAGGTTGCCATGTTGGCTGTGCTGCTCCCAGCTCTGTGACCTTGAGCACGTCATTTGACCTCTCTGTGCCTTGTTTTTCTCTGCCAAATGGCATAATTATGAGTGTGCCTGTGTGTGTGTGCCTGTGTGGGTGTGCACTTGTGAGTGGGTGGTAGATCATAGCTGCCATTTATAAAAGAGAAACTTGAGGCATAGGAGGAAAAAATGACATTTCAGAATCAAATATTCCCCAAAGTGTAGCATTTCAGAGTGTCTGTTACATGAAAATGGCCCAGTAGAAACTTAACAAATGGCTGCGATCCAACAGCAGTTGTCATAGACACGTGGTAGGTGCACTGGGCAGAGAGTGATGTGTGGGACATGGGGATCCCAACTCTGGGGCATGAGCATGGGGTGGGAAGGCCAACCCTGGGCCCCGTCACCCATACTCACTTCCCCACATCCTCTGCCAATAGGACAGCCAAGAGCACAAGATCATCCTCTATGAAAACCCCAACTTCACCGGGAAGAAGATGGAAATCATAGATGACGACGTCCCCAGCTTCCACGCCCACGGCTACCAGGAGAAAGTGTCATCTGTGCGGGTGCAGAGTGGCACGTAAGCACATTGCCAGCCCTGGCTCACCCTGCCCCAGGAACTGAGACTCTGGGGTCCTAAATCCTGCTCTGCTCTGTGTACACTGGTGATCTTGCACACATCAGTGTACTCTGCTGACCTCTGGCTTCCCACTGGAAAGTAAATGGGAATTCTCTGCCCACAGGGAATTCTGTGCCCCTGAATTTCTCTCTAGAGCTGCCTTTGGGGAAACGGCCTTTGGAGTGGAGAAACCTTGGCCTTTACCTCAGCCCCAGTGAGCAAGACATGTATGTCAGAGGGGCACGTTGAGGCAGAGGGAGGATTAGGTTGAGGCAGGAGGGAAGGAATGAGTTGAGTAGTCTGAAAGCTGTGAGAAGCAGGAGGACCAGCCCATGCTGCCTTTGACCGCATGTGTCCCTAAGTTTGGGAACAGGAGGTGTCATTTTCCTCTGAATTGAAGTTCCTGGGCACATCGACCCTGGCCATCAGCAATGGGGGATTTCTCATGGTAAAAAATTTGGATTCCATGGGGGGTCCACAGATGAGCTTTGGGCAGCGGTATGCTGAACAGCTTATACCAGCTTGTAAAACCTTTTTTTTTTTTAAATTGAAATGGAGTCTTGCACTGTTACCCGGGCTGGAGTGCAATAGAACAATCTTGGCTCACTGCAGCCTCCGCCTCCCAGGTTCAAGCAATTCTTCTGCCTCAGCCTCCCAAGTAGCTCCAATTACAGGTGCCCACTACCAAGCTCAGCTAATTTTTTGCATTTTTAGTAGAGACGGGGTTTCACTGTGTTGGCCAGGTTAGTCTCAAACTCCTGACATCAAGATCTGCCTGCCTTGGCCTCCCAAAGTGCTGTGATTACAGGCGTGAGCCACCGCGCCCAGACTCTTAGAATTTGTGTGAACTGGTTGACTAATCATTGGTAGCTTGAAACCAGCCACAGTGGGTGCATTTACAGCATAGAAATCAGCAAGTGCTACGAATTAAGGCTCTTTCCCCCCAACAGAACCAGTTTAGCCAAACATACTGGCTTCTTGGGGTTTGTCAAACTCCTAAAGTGGTGTGCAAAGTTCTGTGCTCCTGTTCCCCTTCATTCCCTCATTCCCTTCATTCATTCATTCATTCATTCATTCATTCATTCATTCATTCATTCAATTTGTCAGTGCTGTCATATGCCAGGCATTGTGTTAGGTGCCCAGAGTGAAGGAGATTAAAGAGATCTGGCTTCTGCCCTGTGTAGCCAACAGTCTAGAAAGGGCAGCTGTTAATAATTTAAGAATCCACGTAAGTCTAAGCTACTTCCTTGAAGAAAAGATTCTTGAGCTGAGATCTCAAGGAACAGTAGGAATTGCGGGGGTAAAGAGGCCAAGGAAGAGTGTCCCAGACAATGAGAGCAGCATGTGCAAAGGCCCTGTGGTGCATGTGGGGGGAGCCTGGTAGGTCTGAGAAACTCTACAAAGGCCACTGGCTGGAATGCAGAGATGTGGGAGCATAAGAATGCGAAGGTAGTGCTGGATATGTCCATAGAGCCTGGCCAGGCAGGTCCTTGCAGGCCAGGCCTGTGTGACATTTTCTGGAGAGAAGACCAGTACTTTCATTAAGTAGCCCCTGGAACCTCTTTTCATCAGAAGACCCCTGGAACCTCCTCCAACTCTTTGGCCTTGCAGCTGGGCTTGGAGGTGGAATAGGAGTGGATGGAGATGGTTCAAAGGTCTGACTTATTCTAAACTTCAGTGAGCTTAAGATACCACCCCCTTGCTCTGACCCCAGTACCAGGCCTTCAGTCAAAATTTGCTTCAGGAGGCAGTGAGCTCCCCATTAAGAGAAGGAAGAAAGCAGAGGCTCAGTGCTGGAAGGGTGGGGTGGAAAGGGTGTCCTGCTTACTCCTGGGAAGTGGCAATGGTTGGCAGGCTTCACGCTTCCTAGTGGTTTATGGATGCTCTCCCCTCGCTTCTCTCATTTCTCTTCCTGTTCCCCCGGTTCACCCTCCCCTCACCTCTGGTCCTGCAGGTGGGTTGGCTACCAGTACCCCGGCTACCGCGGGCTGCAGTACCTGCTGGAGAAGGGAGACTACAAGGACAGCAGCGACTTCGGGGCACGTCACCCCCAGGTACAGTCCGTGTGCCACGTCCGCGATATGCAGTGGTACCAATGTTGGCGCCTTCCACTCCCCTACCATGCCTTCTTCCCAGGACCCAGGCCTGCTGCCCAGGAACCTTCCAGACCAACCAGAGAGTGAGTGAAGTATGACTTGCAACTTGTCTGCTGTGGGTCTTTGATCTCCCCTGGCAGCTGGGGGGTGTGTGTGTGCGCGTGCACGCGCGCGCCTGTGTGTGTGTGTGATAGAAATAAGAATTGGCAAGTATCTGGGCTAGGAATAGGGCAACAGAACCCTTAGGGAGTCTTATGGTTCTTTGCAGCTGCTTAGCTCTTAACTGTGTGACCTTGGACACAGTACCCAACCTCTCTGAGCCTTTGTTTCTTCACCTGACTTGCAATTCCCTTGCCTCTTGAGTGACTGGCTGGTCTTGGGATCCCTGAACATTTGTGATCTGCCTGCCTCAGCCTCCCAAAGTACTGGGATTACAAACATGAGCCACTGCACCCGGCCAGCCTTGAAGAAATTATTTCTAATCCCCAGTCACAAAGAAATTCCCTAATACATTTATTTCTCTAAACTTTTTAAACATTTGCTCTTTACATTTGCGTTCTTAATCCTTCTGGAGCTGATTCTTGTATATGGTGTATGGTAGAGATTCAGTGTTTTGTTTTTTTTTCCTCTTTGGAAGTCCAGTGTCAATTCATGAAGGAGTCCATTTGCTGCACTGCGGCGGAGTCCATTTGCTGCACTGCGGCGCAGTCACCTTGCTGTCCTATCCCCTTCCCCACAGATGGGGTGATTTTATGGGCTGTCTTTTCTGTTCCTGTAGTCTGTGTATCCCTGCACTCTTGCCACATTGTTAACGACTATTGCTTTGTAGTCAGTGTTGAGGTCCCTAAAACGGGGGCCCTCAAACCCTGGGCCTCCCAGGGCCTGAAATGGGGGTTGCACAGCAGGAGGTGGGCATTACAGCCTGAGCTCCGCCTCTTGTCAGACCAGCGGTGGCATTAGATTCTCACAGGAGTGCAAATCCTATTGTGTGAACTGCACGTGCAAAGGATCTAGGTTGCATGCTCCAATGAGAATCTAATGTCCGCTGCCCACAGCCCGTGAAAAATTGTCTTCCACAAAATCGATCCCTGCTGCCAAAACATTTGGGGACCACTGCCCCATAACATGATTCTTTAGGAATGTTTTAGATGTTCTTTCCCCTTTAGGACTCCATTTAGAAGCGTTCCCTCACATTTGGAAAAGTGGAAAACCTTGTTGAATGAGCCAAAGTGGTTAAAATGATTATCATAAAGGTAGAAACCAGTAAGTGCTCCATATACACCGTAGAATACTATGCAGCCATAAAAAAGAATGAGTGCATGTCCTTTGTGGAAACATGGATGAAGCTGGAAACCGTCATTCTCAGCAAATTGACACAGGAACAGAAAACCAAACACCACATGTTCTCACTCATAAGTGGGAGTTGAAAAACGAGAACACATGGACACAGGGAGGGGAACATCGCACACCAGGCCTGTCAGGTTGGGGGGCAAGGAGAGAGCATTAGGACAAATACCAAATGCATGCAGGGCTTAAAACCTAGACGATGGGTTGATGGGTGCAGCAAGCCACCATAGTACATGTATACCTATGTAAGAAACCTGCACGTTCTGCACACGTATCCCAGAACTTAGAAAAAAACAGTTAAGTGCTCAATAAATGTTACTGTCATCTATTTCTTCATTCTTCAACCAATACCTACTGCGTGCCTATTTGGATACTTGGCTTAGTACCTGGGTGATGAAATAATCTACAACAAACCCCCATGACACGAGTTTATAACAAACCTGCACATGTACCCCCGAACTGAAAAGTTAAAAAAACAGAATCCGCACAAGTCTAAGCTACTTCCCTTGAGGAAAAGACTCCAGCTGAGATGAGATCTGAAGGAAGAGTAGAGGTTGCAGGGCTAAAGAAGAGTGTCCCAGATGAGAGCGGCATGTGAAAGGCCCTGTGGTGGGAGGAGCCTGGTAGCTCTGAGAAACTCCACAAAGGCAGGGTGGTGGCTGGAATGCTCAGAGATGTGGGGGCACATGGAAAACCTTGTTAAAGTGGTTAAAATGATTATCATAAAGGTGGAAACTAATAAATGCTAAATAAATGTTACTCTCATCCATTTCTTCATTGATTCTTCACCCGATACTTGGTGCCTATTTCACTCCTGGAACTGGGCAGAGTAGGGGTACAAAGTAATAGATTCTACCCCTAGAAGCTCTCACTTAGGGGGGTGGGGGTGATTGTAATAGTTTGAGAGTAGAGCAATGGTGATTATTATGGATTGAATGAGAACCTCTCAAATTCATATGCTGAAATCCTAATCCTTAGTACCTTAGAGAATATGACCTTATTTGTAAACTGGGTCATTGCAAGTGCAATTTTTTTGAAGCGCTACGGTCTCTACTGTCCAGGCTGGAGGGTGGTGGTACAATCATAGCTCACTGCATCCTCCAACTCGTGGGCTTTCAAGTGATCCTGTTGCCTCAGCCTCTGGAGAAGCTGAGACTGCAGGCGTGCATGACCACACCTCTCTAATTTTTTATTTTATGTAGAGATTGGGGGGTGGGGGGCGGACTCACTGTGTTGCCCAGGCTGGTCTCCTGGTCTTAAGCAATCATTCCATCTCCGCCTCCCAATGTGCTGTGACTGCAGGTGTGAGCTACCATGCCTGGCCAAATGTAATTAGTTATAGTAGTGGATCATACTGGAGTAGGGTGGGCCCCTAATGGAATGTGACTGGTGTCTTATGAAAACGGGAAACTTGGAGAGAGCCACGCACACAGGGAGAATGTCATGTGAAGATGATGCTGGGGTGATGTTTCTGCAAGGCAAGAAGTGCCGCAGATTGTCGGCCACCCAGCAGAAGCTAGGGGAGAAACGAGTGTCACTTGCAGCCTCCAGAGGGACTCGACCCTGCCAATGCCTTAACCTCGGACTTCCAGCCTTCCTGGGGACTTCCTAGAGAGTACCCTGCCCGTCCCCTCTCTTCCTCCCCCTCTTTCTCGCGTGAGGAGTGCTCTGTTCGTGTCCCTACTCACCTCCCCTGGGGGCCTACAGTTTCCTCCTCCGGTCTCTGCAGGACCCGGCCGATTCTTCCAGTCGTCAAGGCTCCACTTCCTCCTGCAGCCACTAGGTGTCAGCAAAGCGTCATCCTCGGGGCTCCCGGCTGGGGGACCAGAGCTGCGCAGGCTCTGAAGCGCCGTCAGTGACGGGCGGGCAGCCCAAGCTTGGCGGGGCCACCGCACCTCCTCACCCTCAGTAGGGGAACTGAGGCTCAGCCCGGAGCCCGAACAGTGTGGCCCAGAGTCCCATGTCTTTGCTTTCCAAAACTCGGGAGGGGGAGAAAAAAAAATCCAGCAACCGTTCTTTGCCTTAGGAAGGTGATTCCAAGATTTCAAGGCCCTTTCTCACCCATGATGTCACTGGAAGCCACGGAGCAAAACCCCAGTCCCGCCACTTGGGCATCTGACAGACCAACCACTCCGTGCTTCGGTTTCCTTTAAAATAGGAGCAATAATGCCGCTCAGAGGATTGCGGTAAAGAGTCCAGAAGATGACACTTAACAAAGTTTAGGGCAGAGCCAGTCACACAGCAAGGCCCTGGGTAAAAGCACAGTGTGAGAAGTGGCTGTGGGGGCTGGGGTGTGGGCAAGGAAGGCTCCCGGGAGGAGTCGTCTTGGGTTTTGTAGGAGGAATAGGAGTTTGCCAGATGGCCTGGATGGAAACACCTTCCATATGTTCATTTACCAGTTCACTTATTCATTCCTGTCACAAAATTACAACAAATTTAGTTTAAAGGCCTTAATTGACTTTTTTTTTTTTTTTGGAAATAGAATCTCACTGTCGCACAGGGTAGAGTGCAGTGGTGCGATCTCAGCTCACTGCAACCTCCACCTCCCAGGTTCAAGCAATTCTCCTGTCTCAGCCTCTGGAGTAGCTGGGACTACAGGCACATGCCACCATGCCCGGCTATTTTTATTTTTGTATTTTTAGTACAAAGGGGGTTTTGCCATATTGGTCAGGCTGGTCTTGAACCCCTGACCTCAGGTGATCCACCCGCCTTGGCCTCCCAAAGTGCTGGGATTACAGGCGTGAGCCACTGCACCCAGCCTTTAATTGACTTCTATTTGCCGTTGTAGAATTGAGCAACAACATCTCATTCTGTAAAATAGAATCATGTGTCCAGATGAGTTGAACAGAAGAGGTTTACAGACAGCAATGGGCAGAAGGAAGAAGATAGAACAAAAAAGCAGAATGGTCCTTTCAAAGTTACTTTCCCTGTAAAGGTTAAATCCTAGGGAACTTCGTTCTCTTGCCGGCTGAAACTGGAAGGCTGGGCAAACACCTTGGTTTGGGCTTGCTGGTGTGGCATGTCAGCACGAGTCACTCCATTTGGATTTGGTCAGTGGGGCCTAGGGCAGGAGCTCAGTCCAAACCAATGGTCTCTCATAAATTTGAGCGCTCCCATCTTCCTCCTGCCGCCCTTGCTCTGCTTCCGTCGTCTTCGCCCTTTTCCTGGTCCTCTGGTTTCTCCTGCTCTGCACCCCCACTTTTCTCCAACCTCCACCTTCTCTCCTTCCTCTCCTCACTCATGGCCCCAGATGCAGCCACTCAGCCAGGCCCCAGCGTCACCCCCTAGCGTGATGGGGTGGAGGGACGGGCAGCTGGAGCAGGTGGGCTTATGAAGGTGGACAGACCACTGTCTCTAAGCAGCTGCGGAGGGCCTGCCTGTCCATCTGTAGGAGCCTTGGGTTTCAGGGGAACTAGTTCCTGGTGTTGGAGAGCTGGACTCAGCAGCCAGACTAGGCCCTGGGAAGTGGGCTGGAGTCTGGCAGAAATGGGGAGGAAGCCACAGGGCAGCCCTAACAGGCAGTGGAAACAGCCCCAAGCCAGGCAGTGGAGCCAGAGGCCCCCGAAGTCAGGCAGGGCTAGAGTCAAGTCCCAGATCTCCTACTCATTGACCCTGTGATGGCAGGCAAATGAGCTTACCTCTCTGAGACTCTGTTTCCTCATCTAACCAAGGGCCATGGGGTTTTTACCCCATTGGTAATTCTCAGACACCTGGTCACCGACCTGACACGAAGTAGTTGCTCAATAAATGACAGCCTAGTTGCCTTTTCGCTCTTCATTCATTCATTGAATAGTGATTGGGGACTCTCTCCTGTGCTGCCTGCTGCTCCAAAGCAAAGGAGCCTGCCTGTCAAGCCTGCCTTGTCACTTGCCAGGAACTCCTGCTCCCTCCTAGGGCAGCCCCTGGTTAATGGAGCTGAGAGAACGCAAGATGCTGAGCCGTGGGGTGTGCACAAGAACCGGGAGGGAGGCTTTATGAAAATCAGGGTCCGGGTGCAGCCCCAGGCCAGGTCAGCTCACAGTGGGCAGGCAGGTGAAACTGGAGGAAATTGGAGAGACAGCAGGAGGGAGGGGGAAAAGGTAAAACCTTTCGCCGCCTCCTCAATGCCTATAAAGGTCTGAAGCTTGCTCAAAGCTAAGAATTTTAAACCCAAACTCAGACATCAGCCAATACTAAATGTTTGCAAGGCTTGGAGAACAAAAACTCTAAAGCGCTTCTGCAGTGATGTACACTGGTGCCATCACTTTGCAAAAATTAGAATTTGAGGCCGGGCGCGGTGGCTCAAGCCTGTAATCGCAGCACTTTGGGAGGCCGAGACGGGCGGATCACGAGGTCAGGAGATCGAGACCATCCTGGCTAACACGGTGAAACCCCGTCTCTACTAAAAAAATACAAAAAACTAGCCGGGCAAGGTGGCGGGCGCCTGTAGTCCCAGCTACTCGGGAGACTGAGGCAGGAGAATGGCGTAAACCTGGGAGGCGGAGCTTGCAGTGAGCTGAGATCCGGCCATTGCACTCCAACCTGGGCGGCAGAGCGAGACTCCGTCTCAAAAAAAAAAAAAAAAAAAAAAATTAGAATTTGACAGATTCTAGTAATGTTGAAGATGCAGAAATCTGGAGGCCCAGCTATTTCTTCACTGGGTGTTTACCCTGGAAAATCTCTCCCACATCTGTACAGGAGATAGGCTCAGGATGCTCAGAGCAGCGTTGTCTGCACTAGCAAAAAACTGGAAACAACTTACATGTCCGTGAGAAGGAGAATGAGTAAATAATCAGCATGCAATAATATTATCATGCAACAGACAAAAGGGATACACAAGACCTTATGTATTCAACATGGGCATATCTCAGAAGCATTGCCGGAGGTAAAAAACAAAAACCAAAAAAAAACAGGCAAGTTACAGAACAATATTTGATGTTTATAAGAATGTTTTTAAAACACAAATTATCTGCAGTGAAGGATCAGTTTTTGTATTTTACTATTTTTGACCCCTTATGGACTGAAAAGTTAGTAGAATATAATAAAAATGACCAGAAATGCAGAATGAAAAATACAACAAACATCCCCAATTTAAAATTTTTATATTAAAACAGACTGTCAAATTATTAAAAGTCGTCTTTTTTTTTTAAGAGACGGGTTAGTAGGGGGGTGTCTCACTATGTTGCCCAGGCTGGTCTTGAACCCCTGGCCTCAAGAGGTCTTCCTGCCTCAGCCTCCCAAAGTGCTGGGATTACAGGGGTGAGTCCACCACGCCCAGCCAAAAGTTTCTAATCTTACTGTCAGTTTCTGTGTTTATCTCATCGCAGATTGATAACAAACAATTACCACCGACCAGACTTTGAGTAGGTGTTGGCAAACTTTTTCTGTAAAGAACGAGGTAGTAAACAGTTCACATTTTGGGGGACAATATGGTCTCTGGCAACTACTCAACCCTGCTGGCATCACATAGAAGCAGCCGTAGGTAAATGAATGGGTGAGGCTGTACCTCTGTAAAACTTTATGTCCACTGAAATTTGAATTTCATTGTCATGTATTAACACAAATATTTTTGTTACCTTTTTACATTTTAAAATTTATTTACTGATATTTTGGGGGGTAGATGTGATATTTTGATACACATACACAATGTATAATGATCAAGTCAGGGTAATCAGGATACCCATCCCCTCAAACATTTATCTTTTATCTTTCCTTTGTGTAGGGAACATTACCCAACATAATTTTTCTCTTCTGGATATTTTGAAATCTGTAAGACATTATTGCTAACTA